TGTCCGTGGAGTCAAGTGTATAAACTAAGTTGTGCGGAGAAGTTTAAGAGTGAAATGATGTGTTTTTCTCTTTTATGAATCACGTCAATGTTATAACGTATTTAAGATTACAAGTTTCAAAATGTTAGAATGTAACAACAAATGGACAAACTAATAAGGTCCTCTCCTTTCAATCTTCTCATCTACTATACATGTGATCAAGAACTTGCCCAAATAATATTTATCAAAAATCACAAATTGCATCTTCTGTTTCTAACTCTGCTTTGATCATGGATGAAAATGATGTGAAATTATTAGGATCATGGCCTAGTACATTTGTCATGAGGCCTCGTATCGCGCTTAACGTAAAATCAGTGTGTTATGATTTCTTGGAGGAGCAGTTAAGTTCTAAGAGTGATCTTCTCCTTAAATCAAATCCAGTTTACAAGAAAATTCCAGTTCTAATTCATGATGGAAAATCCATTTGTGAATCTCTCAACATTGTTCAATATATTGATGAAAAATGGACTAATTCTGGTCCCTCTATTCTCCCCTTGGATCCTTATGATCGTGCCATTGCCCGATTTTGGGCATGTTAGATTGATGATAAGGTACACATCTCTCTTCGTAACTGTAAAAACTTAAGTTATTAGAGAGAGCACTTCAAATTACTTATGTAATGTTTTACATTTCATTTTGATATTGATGTGCTTGAATATTGTAGCCATTTCGAGTATCTTTGATGTGTATACAGTGGCGTATTCAGAATTTTAAATTAATGGGTGCTCGCTATAGTTAAAGCCTAGTACAATCCGACCTATAATATTGTTTATTTGGTAGCTAGGACAAACCAGCATAATTTACTAGATAGAACTTATGTGCAAGAAGTATCAAATGCTGACTGATATTTCATTAAAAAAGAGTGTTGAACTCTTCTTATTTAGTCATTCCTTCAATATTAGTTGTTGAGGAAGCTAGCCATGACAACAAATACTGTAAAGCTTCTAGGTTCATGGGCAAGCCCGTTCGTGAACCGGGTTGAAATAGCCCTCAAGATAAAGTCTATTGAGTATGAGTTTATACAACAAAATATGATAAACAAAGGTGAGCTGCTCCTTAAATCCAACCCAGTTTACAAGAAAATCCCCGTCCTGATCCACGATGAGAAGCCTATCTGTGAGTCCCTTGTTATCCTTCAGTACATCGATGAAGTTTGGATTAATGGTCCCTCCATTCTTCCTTCTGATCCCTATGATCGTGCCATAGCACAATTTTGGGCAGCCTATATAGATGAAAAGGTGAAGACTTAATTCTCATATTACCATCTCGTTGTCCTATAATTGGTAACAATTGAATTTGTAACTTATCATAAACAAACTCTCTATCTCTAACGTAGAGGTAAGGTTTCTGTACGCTCTACCCTCCTCAGACCGCCACTTTGTAGGACTAGTATGTCTCGAAAATTCCTCTTACATGTTGTAGTGTCCAATTCTTTGGCGGTGGCAACTCTAATACCATGTTGAAATTGTGTGATTGTGTTATCTAAAAGTTTAAGCTATTAAGAATAGAACATTTCTAATTGCTTAATTATGTTGTTCACGCTTCAAATGTTCAGTCTTGAACGTGTGCTGGAGAGTGTTAGAGTCTCACATTTGTTGAGAGAATAAGTTGTCGTCATGAGCTAGCTGAGGTCTATTTCCTTAACAAATATTTTTATTGATGATGCAGTGGTTTCCATTATTCCGTTGCTTAGTTGTTGCCCAAGGAGAGGATGCCATAAAGGCAGCACTGGAGCCAGTTTTCGACGGTCTGGTGTTGTTGGAAGATGCCTTCAAGAATTGCAGCAAAGGAAAGAAGTTCTTTGGCGGAGACAAAATTGGATACGTGGACATTGCACTTGGCTGCTTCTTAGGTTGGATGAGGGTGACCGAGAAGATGAACAATGTCACACTGCTTGATGAAGCCAAGACTCCAGGTTTATACAAATGGGCTGAAGATTTTTGTGCCGATAGTTCTGTCAAAGATGTCATGCCTGAAACTAATAAGCTTGCTGAGGCTGCTAAGGACCTTATACCCAAAATTAGAGCTAATGCATCTAGCTAAATCCATACGCTACGTTTAGCCTATGAAGCCTCGGTATCTATTTTTAATCTCTAGAGTCTTGCTAAGACCATATATTGAAACAACATTTGGTCTTTGGAAGGTTTAATATGGTATTGTGTAACAAACTACTAAGAAATGAGTATTATGAAGCCAAGATCTACTATTTATTGGTTAATTCTATATGTGTCTATTTGATGTTTATTTCAATTTTTGAAACTTGAAATGTTCTAAACCAAACTGAATTCAGAAACTAACTGAGCTGAAAACTATATAGATTTGTGGTGAGTTACAACACAATCAAACCCGAATGGGGTGCCTTAAGCAACAGAGGACAGTAACTTTAGTTTCTGACTAGCATTAACTTAGTATATTTTGAACGTGGTGCCTGCTACCTCCAAGAAGTCGTTTTCCGTGGGCAAAGAGAATCTTGCTGATCCTACATTGTTTGTCTAACGAGGTCTAGAGGGACATAAAAGAAAGAGTGTCTAATTCTGCACTAAATTGCTTGCATTTCAACTCCTTGAGTTGGCTATGGCAACCACCATTGTAAAACTTTTGGGAAGGAACAGATGCGCTTTTGTGAATCGTGCTCAAATGACTCTAAAACTTGAAGTCCATCGAGCATGAATTCATCGAACAGGATGCTTTCAAGAAAAGTGAGCTTCTCCTAAAATCAAGTTTCTGTTAGCAAGAAAGTCCCAGTTTTGTTCCTTTCTGAAAAGCCTATATGTGAGTCTCTCCTCATCGTGCAATATATTGATCAAGCTTGGCCTATTAGTCCCTCCTTCCTTCCTTATCAGTCAAGTGCAAGTTATAATTCAACAAATTACTCTTATGAATGGACTAATAAGATTGTTTGTTAATCTTATTTAAAGCATAGCACAACATGTTGATCCCCACCTACAATATTGTTTATTTGGTAGATACAACTTATGTGCAAGAAGCATCAAATGCTGACTGATATTTCATTAAAATAGAGTGTTGAACTCTTCTTATTAGTCATTCCTTCAATATTAGTTGTTGAGGAAGCCAGTCATGGCAACAGGTAGTGTAAAGCTTCTAGGTTCATGGGCAAGCCCATTTGTGAACCGCGTTGAAATAGCCCTCAAGATAAAGTCTATTGAGTCTCATGAGCTTATACAAGAAAATGTGTTAAACAAAAGTGAGCTGCTTCTCAAATCCAATCCTGTTTACAAGAAAATCCCAGTCCTGATCCACGACGAACAGCCTATCCGTGAGTCCCTTGTCATTCTTCAGTACATCGATGAAGCTTGGCTTAATGGTCCTTCCATTCTTCCTTCTGATCCTTATGATCGTGCCATAGCACGATTTTGGGCAGCCTATATAGATGAAAAGGTGAAGACTTAATTTCATTTGTAACTTATCAGAAACAACCTCTCTACCTCTAACGTAGAGGTAAGGTTTGTGTACGCTCTACCCTCCTGAGACCCCACTTTGTGGGACTACACTAAGTATGTTGTAGTTGATTTTTTAACTACTAAGCTTGATATGTTGTTTGTAGTTATTTAGTAACTGAACGTTACCATGCTTGAAAAATCGTTTAGATGAGTAGTTAAGTTCATCAAATGGTTGCAGTGGTATCCATTGGTAGCGGAGTATAGGAACGCAGAAGGAAAGGAAGCAAAAGCAGCTGTGGTGGAGAAAATGTCTGGAGGAAATTTGCTGCTGGAGGAAGCTTTTATTAAGATCAACAAAGGGAAATCTTTCTTTGGTGGAGATAGAATTGGTTACGTTGACATTGTTCTTGGTAGTTTACTCGGATGGGTAAAGGTAATCGAGATAATGGATGACATGAAGATATTAGATGAAACGAAGTTGCCTAGCCTAGCTGAATGGGATGAGAGGTTTTTCTCAGACAAAGCTGTAAAGGATATCATTCCACAGCCTGAGAAACTTGTGGAAGCTTATCAAAAGTATATCGAGATGAAGAAAGCTACCTCAAATTACTAATGCCTCTGATTTCTTTGTCTGTGCTTTGTTAAGGAAAGTGTGTCTCTTCCTAGATCTTGTTTAAACAGACGAAAAATAAAAGAAGTTTGTTGTTATTAATGTACTAAACAAACTCTCCTCGATAGAGATTCGTACATGTTGATCAAACAGAAATAATCAAGTTACATGAAGTCCATTGAGCATGAATTCATCGAAGAGAATGCTTTCAAGAAAAGTAAGCTTCTCCTCAAATCAAGTCTCAGTACTCTTCCATGCTGAAAAGACTATAAGTGAGTCTCTCCTCATCATAGAGTACACCGATGAAACATAGCGTAATGGTCTCTCCATCCTTCCTTCTGATCCTTATGAACGTCCCACTGCCCGGTTTTGGGCAGCCTATATTGATGAAAAAATAAAGGTTTTAGAACAGTAATTTGATTTGAAGTTTACGGGTTCCTACAACGATCTCAAGTTAATATACAATAATAACTGTGTCAAATCAAGTAGATTTCTTGATATATACAGAGGGTGTGGGATTAAGATACATATTTGTTTATCATAGTATTAAAATAAGAGCACTAAAATACTAATTTGATGGTACCATTATGCTGGATGAATAGGAGAAAACAAAAAAAGAAAAACTAAAACTGATGTTACAGAATGATAATGTAGTTTTGGAGCTTTATGGTCTATAAGATGCCTTTACAAAGGAATAGATGCCAACTAACTTCTTGGTATTTTAAGTCAAATTGTACTTAAAATAATCATCCAGCTAGAGTACAAACTATAGTACACATGACATTTTGGCAATCGATGTGTATGCAGTGGCGGATTCAGAATTTTAAATTAATGGGCGCTCGCTATATTTAAAGCATATATAGTACAACATGTTGATCCCACCTATAATATTGTTTATTTGGTAGATACAACTTATGTGCAAGAAGAATCAAATGCTGACTAATATTTCATTAAAAAAGAGTGTTGAACTCTGCTTATTAGTCATTCCTTCAATATTTGTTGTTGAGGAAGCTAGCCATGGCAACAAATTGTGTAAAGCTTCTAGGTGTATGGGCAAGCCCGTACGTGAACCGTGTTGAAATAGCCCTCAAGATGAAGTCTATTGAGTATGAATTTATACAAGAACATGTGTTAAACAAAAGTGAGCTGCTCCTCAAATCCAATCCTGTTTACAAGAAAATCCCAGTCCTGTTCCACGACGAAAAGCCTATCTGTGAGTCCCTTGTCATCCTTCAGTACATCGATGAAGCTTGGCTTAATGGTCCCTCCATTCTTCCTTCTGATCCCTATGATCGTGCCATAGCACGATTTTGGGCAGCCTATATAGATGAAAAGGTGAAGACTTAATTTCATTTGTAACTTATCATAAACAACCTCTCTACCTCTAACGTAGAGGTAAGGTTTGTGTACACTATACCTTCCTCAGACCCCACTTTGTGGGACTACACTAGGTATGTTGTAGCTGATTTTTTAACTACTAAGCTTGATATGTTGTTTGTAGTTAATTTCACGTATGATAACTGAACTTATTATTTAGTAACTGAACGTTACCATGCTTGAAAAATCGTTTAGATGAGTAGTTAAGTTCATCAAATGGTTGCAGTGGTATCCATTGGTAGCGGAGTATAGGAACGCAGAAGGAAAGGAAGCAAAAGCAGCTGTGGTGGAGAAAATGTCTGAAGGAAATTTGCTGCTGGAGGAAGCTTTTATGAAGATCAGCAAAGGTAAATCTTACTTTGGTGGAGATAGTATTGGTTACGTTGACATTGTTCTTGGTAGTTTACTCGGATGGGTAAAGGTCATCGAGATAATGGATGAAATGAAGATACTAGACGAAACAAAGACGCCTAGCCTAGCTGAATGGGCGGAGAGATTTTGCTCAGACAATGTTGTAAAAGATATCATTCCACAGCCTGAGAAACTTGTGGGAATTTATCGCAAGTATCTCGAGGTGAAGTAAGCTACCTCAAGTTAACAATGTTGCTGAGTTTTTCTTTGTCCGTGCTTTGTTAATGGAAGTGTGTCTCTTCCTAGATCTTGTTTAAACGGACGAAAAATAAAAGATGTTTGTTGTATATTTATGCTTCGTATCAAAAATACTACGTTTAGTTGAACTCGTATCATCTAAGCTTCATCCCCCTTTGAATATGTCTAAATAAATTTGCTTCAAAGAATGTATTCCACATGCTGATATAGGCCTGCAATGTTGTGTGTGACCATGTCAAAGTCATCTTAGTATTTTCTCAATTTAGTCCCAATCTATTGCTTTCTTGTTTCACAACAAAAAAGCAAGGCAAAACACATATGCAGACCCTTATATTTGTCCCTAATTTTCATTTTGACACTCCAACTCAACTTTGTTCCATTTTGGCAGAGTGTGTGCATCACACTTTCTCTAAGAGAGTGAAAGACAAAAAAAAGTATTTTTTAAAAAAATAATAAAAGATTACCCTTCAACTCTACTTTTTTTTTGTACCATTTAACACAAAAATACTAATTTTATGATTTCTTTATTTCTATATATGTTATTTAACTGCAATTTTACATTTTGAAAATCGGTGTTCATTCGTTATTTATTGTAAAAAAATTAAAATTGTCGGATGATCATTGATATTTTTTATAAAAAAAAGTAAAAATTTCTTTTTAAGTGTTTCCCCATATTTTGCGTGAAAAATAACCGACGAAAGTGCGTCGATTTTCTTTCTTAAGAAAATCAATAACAACCCAACGAAGTCTATCGAATTTCAATATTTTTTTGTAGTGTTATTAATTAGCAATGAACATGAGTTTTTTTTACTCGTATTTAGTTGAATGAAAAATTAGAAAGTTGATATTTGAGTTAGTCCAAATCGAGAAGATATGGAAAAAAAATATGTGATGTTATTTAATTTAATTAATTGTTTAAAAAATAAAATCAACACACTTTCGTTGATTATTTTTTCACACAATAATGTCTGATGATGTTCATTTTTAAAAATCAACATCATATCTTTTTTTTTAAAAAAAATAATAATAATGGATGAACATCATTTTTTAAAAATAAATTTTTTTAGAGTTTTTGTACATTATTTTGTTAAAAAATAATCGACGAAAGTGAGTTGTTTTTTTTAAACAATTAATTAAATTAAATAACACCACTTTTTTTTTTCTTCATATATAGTGTATTTGGACTAACTCAAATATCAGCTTTCTAATTTTTCATTTTACTAAATACGAGTAAAAAAAACTCATTATCATTGCTAGCTAATAACACTACAAAAAAATGTTGAAACTCGATAGACTTCGTTGGGTTGTCATTGATTTTCTTAAGAAAGAAAATCGATGCACTTTCGTTGGTTATTTTTCACGCAAAAATATAGGAAAACTCTTAAAAATAACTTACTTTTTTTATATAAAAAAAATCAATGATCATCCGTCAATTTTAATTTTTTACAATAACTAACGGATGAATGCCGATTTTTAAAATGCAAAATTGTAGTTGAATAACATATATAGAAATAAAGAAATTATAAAAATATTATTTTGTGTTAAATGGTACATAAAAGAAATATAGTTGAAGGGTAATCTTTTATTATTTTTTAAAAAAAATACTTTTTTTTGTCTTTCACTCTCTTAGAGAAAGTGTAATGCACGCATTGTGCCACATCACTTAGAAGTACCAAAATGAAGCATGAAAATTGGAGTTGAAGGGTTAAAATGGAACAAGGTTGAGTTGGAGTGCCAAAATGAAATTTAGTATTCTATGTTTGCTTAAAATTATAATCGTTTGGCACGCAGGATAAGGTGAGATATTCCAAGATTAAGCCTGAGACAAATTTATACCATCTACCAAACACATTATAAATTTTATTTCCCATCCAACTTGCAAATTATTTTATCCCATCTCTCGGGTGGGATAAATTAGTCTAAGGATTATAAATCTCAGGATAATTTAGTCTGCATACCAAACGACCTAAATAAATATTCAACATTAGTGTGATACCACCTAAGTTCTTACTTCTTAGTAAATGTCATTCTTGGAGTGAATTACTAAGTTGCCAAAGCATATAAATCTTTGATCATCAACATTGTGTTTCATTAAACATTTGTATCCACCTAGTAAATTAACAACAACAATTTAGTCATGGCAACAAGTATTGTTAAGGTTCTAGGTACACAAGCAAGTCCATTTGCAAATAGAGTTTTAATTGCTCTTAATGTCAAGTCTGTGGATTATGAATTTATTCAAGAAGACATGTCTAATAAAAGTGAACTTCTTCTTAAATCCAACCCTGTTCATAAGAAAATCCCAGTACTCATTCATGGTGACAACACTATTTGTGAGTCTTTAGTCATCGTCCAATACATCGATGAGACGTGGACTAATGGACCCTCGATTCTTCCTTCTAACCCCCTTGATCGTGCCATCGCTAGGTTTTGGGTTGCCTACATAGATGACAAGGTATTACTTTCAACAGAAACTATTTTTTTTGTCACATTAAAGTAATCGAACTATGTAACTTGCTCAAACAATATCAATAACCGGATGCACTAAGTTGTTGGATGTACGTACAAGTCCCACATTGATCGTTAAAAAAAATGAATCTACATTTTAGGTGTAGGATACTTTTAACAATGTGAGGCATTTCAAGGAAAATCGTTCAGACTTGACTCAAAATGGACAATATTAAAGAGTACTTTTGGTTTGTTCTACTTCTAACCAACATGAATGATCATTATTTGGTTAGTCAAAATTCTTTTATTTTTCCAAGCTAAAAATTAACGTTCCGATCATTTGTATTTTTTCGAGCAATTTATTACATAGTTCAATCACTTTAACGTGACTTAAAAATATAGCCTTGTACATAAGTAAACGTACTGTTATAGTGAGTAAAGTTCAATTACTTTTATGACAAGACGAACTACACTTGCAGTGGTTACCTTTGATGTCTGACCTTGGAAAAGCACAAGGAGAAGAAGCAAAATTAGAAGTACAAGAGAAATTACAAGAAGCATTGGTGCCTTTAGAAGAGGCATTTGTTAAGTGTAGCAAAGGGAAATCTTTTTTTGGTGGTGACAATATTGGTTACATAGACATTACTTTAGGGTGTATTTTGGGTTGGATAAAAGCAATAAAAATTATGTTAGGAATTGAAATATTTAATGTAACAAAGACCCCTGGATTGGTTAATTGGGGTGATAGGTTCTTGGAAGACAAATTTGTTAAAGGTGCTATGTTGGAGCCAGAGAAACTTGTTGAGATACTAAAGTTACATTTGGCCAAAAGAGAGGCTAATAATGCAAACTAAAGGATGATTTCTTTTTGGGTAATAAAGATTGTCAGACTATGTTCTTCACCTGTTCGGACTTTTCAAAAATGTTGACATGTGTGAAGGATTAATATGCTTGTTTATTTGGCTTCACAAAGATCAAGATTGTAAAGCCAATTAATATGCTTAACTTATATACTATATATCTTATATCTTAACATGTGATCATGACGCTAGCTGATTCAAGTGAAATTATTGTTTCCGACTCGACCTATGTAAATATGTTAAAAAGTAAAGTATATACGTATAATAAGATCACATACGTTTTAAACTCACTGACTCTAGATCTTGAATTCGTCTCTGTATCACACAAGTAAGATACAACTTATTGATTGATGAGACCATAAATCCATGGGACCATTTCTCGATTTGTGCGTGTCATCCTTGCGCAGGGGCCATGCTAATCTTCTCTGTATCGTTCCAATTTTATCGGATGTCCCCGAAGGGAGACTAGTTATTTGCAACCAAATTATCATATAACCAAGTAGTCAGTCAAATTTGCATCAGATAGATTTACTAAGGTGTAAAGCACTTCCTTTTAAGATTTTTTATATTTATACGTTTAGAACGTGAGACACCTGATTAAGAATAAAAGAAATTCAATCTACGATTTACAAAAGACAAACTAGTACCTATTACATCAATTTTTTATAAAAGTGAGATATTTCGAATTCATTTGTGACAATATAAGTAATACAATAAGTATATATATGTGACACAATAATGTTTAGCTTTATGAAAAGGTGAGTATATGTGCATCCTGGCATAGCCAAATGGAGTAAGTAGAAACAACCTTTCATTTTAGATGGAATGGGAATTATTTATATCCACTTTTTGAGTCTTCTTAAAGTTAATTTCAAATAATTCAATATTTCCTAACAATACCATGCCTAAAATGGTCTTTGTTCCTTTCGGGGAATTCAACCTCAGTTTACGATTCAACAGAATTCGATAGTTTGAAGTTAAACTTAATATATATATATATATATATATATATATATTCTTTTAGGATAATGAGTTGTAATATTATGCATGTTTTACATACTTTTCAGTAATAATTCATATAGTTAATTTGCCGAAAGTCCCTTTTTATTTTGTATATATTTGTGCTTTATTTTCTGGCTTTGTATTTTATATTAGATTTGTTGGGCTGTGTTTGCAACAAATTTTAAAGTGACAGAAAATAAATTACAATCACAAATAAAATATGAAGAAACATAATTTTATTCATCAAGATTGCGGGTACAATTCAGTTCCTCCCTTGATTCTACTCTCCTAAGATTTAACCATGATTCGAGGGCCGTTTGTAGCGTATTTCTCGAACTAGGATGATTTAGATTTGACCTCTATATGAATATTCCATCAATTTGTAGAATATTCGAGATGCCTTTTAAGGGAATTTAGTACCCTTTATATAGGCATAAACTAGGGTTTATAGTTGAGCAGCCTCCAAGAATTCTAATTGAAACTGAACACCTTCTAGAGTCCCAATTTGAATTGAACACGTCTTGTAGAGTTCCACAAAATTTCAATGTCTACAGGCTACTATTATTTTTTTCTTTTGATAGGCTTTTGATGATAATTTCTTGAATTGTTTGTCAAAAGTTGTTCCTTTTGTAATGTTGTGCTTTAATAGAGAAGATTTGGATTA